TAATCGAAGTACATATGTACTATATGCTAAAACATATTGTATAAGCTATAAAATCAAATTATAAATATAATTAAATATGAAGTTATGTAGTAATATTTTATAATAATTTTAATATTATTTGCGTATTGTTGCTTTATTCAACACTATATCTGATATAAGGCTTGCATAAAGTTGGTTATCCAATTTTTTCGGAATATGTCAGAGGGTTTAATAAATCTTTGCAGACTTAAAACCAGGCAATGGTTGTATTAATTTATTGATTTATTTGCAATTGCACTTGCTCGTCACATCACTTTAACCTTTGCTCCCTCTTTGTCATCTCCTTTACAATGTCTCCTCCATTACTTAATTAGCAGATCACATATCGTTACTTAAGATACAAGTTTACTGCAAGAAAATCAAAGTTTAAGTTCGATCCCTAGGATTGAACCTCCAATTTATTGAATATTGGTCACATGAAATTACATCATTTGTCTTACATCACACTGCAATAAACTTTAAATTACTAATATGATTAGTAATAAACCTTTTATATATATTATAGTGTTATACAACCTTATCGCTATATATAATTATGTTAAAGTTTACCCTGACAGATCATTTCACGGTTCTATAGGGGACTGCAGAACCACATGCAACCAATCATATCAGACAGTACATGCAAAATGCATCAATGAAAATTTATAATCCTTTCAAACACTTGCAAAAGTTATAAAATCATAACTTTGTTTCTAAATGTTTGATTTTATGTTAACTCCAATAATAGTATTACAAGAAACTTTGAATAGAGCCAATAAACACATTACAAGAAACTTTGAATAGAGCCAATAAACAATATTCCTATCAGGATTATAATTTTGTTATGATTAATATTCAAAAAAAAAATCCTATTATGATTATTCTGAGATTCTACTATTGTTTATAAGTATATTATTATGAGTTGCATTTAGATTGTCACTATATGATATATATGATATATAGTTAGCATGATATATAGCTAGTTAATAATATGTAGCAATAAATGCATAACTGAAATTATTAAATTATTTATCTTGTAAGAGCAACTTCTAGAGTTATGTCCTGTTTCGTTACAAATACTACATATATATATTTTTTTGGTAAAATATTCAGCACCAGTTTTTTTACGTTTTGTATTACTTGGTCTTCCTTTTGTCTTAATATTTGTAGAATCACCAATATCGGCTTGTTGTAAAGGATATTGGTTATTCAACTTCTCAATGAAAAGAGAGAGACAATTGTTAATTTCAATATGACCATCCCTATTGGCAATCGCTTTAATTTCCTTAATTAAATTAGCTGTACTTTTAAATGTTGATTGTTTGCTAATTTGAATTTCACAAGCATCATAGTTTGAAGAAGACAATACAGTAGTTGAAGAGTTTTTATTATTATTAATATCATATGGCTCTTCAGATTGTATTACATTATTTGTGTCTGTTGCTGAGATAATCTAACAAGTGCCAATATAATTAACTCTTAGAAATTCTTTACAAGTAAGATGAACAGCAATAATATGATGGCAGGGTAAAGAAAATTGTAAGCCATAATTACAATGGCATACTAATTCTATCTCAGTATGATATACTATATGATCACGATTTTCATTAAAAACTTTAAATAAACCAATGACCTGTTCCTCAACACTATAAAGCGTAGCACTATTATATTGAGCAAGTAACAAGGAATATACAAAATCTGATATAACCATTGAAATATTTTTTAATAATTCTGGGCATTGTTGATGGGTGCTTCCACGTAAATGATATTGCTGATATTGGGATCATTCAAGTTGATTACGAGATAACTTTTTCAACATATTAATTAATTCAGGTAAGGGCACTATATGACCAAGCTGATGTTTTAAATGAGCGTTACTAGCTTCTGAGTGTTGTGTCGTTCTAATACCATAGTTAACATTTTTATTAGTATAACAGTATACCCACATATGAGAAATAGACTTCTATTGTTCTATGTAACTATTAACTTCAGGATATTCTTTTAACAGACGATTCTAGTGAATAGTAAATTGATCTTCAACAGTTTCTGTTATAACTAATTTAAAATCCTTACTGAATGCTAAAAATTTATTACTAAGCTTGCTAGTTAAATTCTTAACAATGTTTTGTTCTATGTGCCAGGTACAAAGTTGATGCTTAACATGTGGAAGTTCAGTTCTAATTGCAGAAAGTACAGCAAGATCTCTATCAGTTAAAATTATTCACACCCTGTTAATAATATTATCGGCTACTACTTTTTTTAGTTGATGAAGTATCTAGCTATAAGTCAGAGTAGTTTCATCAGCAAGAAGCCCACTTGCTATAAGAAATATAATTCCCATTGCATCAACCCCACTAATAAGTAAAAGTGGCATTCCGAAATGATAGTTTTATAAGTAGTGTCTATCAATACGATCTCTGGATAACATTTAAATATTGTAAACGCAGATTGAGTAGCAAAAAATAAGCAGTGAAGCTTATTATCATTAACTAAATAAGTGATTTTATATTCACTATTGTTATGTAAATAGGTTAAAAGTTCAGATATTTGTGACAAGCCCTTAATACGGTCACGTGAATGGAAATTTAAAGAATTGTAAATATCCTTGTTGTGAATATATCTACCATACTGTTCACTTAACATCCTAATAATTGTTGGAACTGGTATACCACTGTTAAATAGTATATTTACTTGATCCTTTTTATTATAACTTAATTTGTGATGTCCAGGATCAAACAAAGTTACTGCAGTATCCATAGGATGGTTATGTTCAAGATTAGCAGATCTCACATGATATTCATTATTAATCCAATGAACTACTATTTTAAATGAACAACCAATTACAATGCTCTTTGTAGTTCTCAATCCAGTACTTGTTTTTTTTGCAATACCAGCATGATGACAAACAATGTCTGCTCTAATAATGATGCCTAGGCTTTTCTCTGACGGTCCAATCTTGTTGCAAAACCTTGTGATATAGTATAAGCTTTAATGTATTGTTCAACATCGCACCAACTAGTAAAAGTTTTTCCAACTTCAATTGATGGTACTAAATTGTTGTTAAGTGAAAATGCTTCTTGAGATACATCATTAATATCAAGATTTGAATCAAGACTATCGTCAGAATCGACAATTATGCTTATGTCAATGTTATTATTAT